CGCCTCTTCGTTTATTAAAAATAAAATGGAAAATCGCCGAGAGGATTTCACAAGTTCTCTCGTTTTCTGCGGTCAAGGGTGATTCTTTTAACATACTCGCCTCTCAAATTACCTCATTCGATCAAATTAAGATGATTATCACTTCGAAGTTTCTGATATTTTATTTGTTGTGGCTATACTATAACCTATATTATACATTTAGCATAAAATCTTACAAATTTCTGCACATTTCCTTAATACATTTTAAAGAATATTCCCATACATTTCAATTCAGAATGTTGTTTAATCGTTTGGTAAAAAAGAGTTTATCGCGTCATGTCATGAAGATGCGCCTTTGTTCATTGAACTGAATAGTACAGCAGAATAATGAATTTGTATTTTTAAGGATGCTACTGATATGATATTAAGATACACATTTTTAAGAGCAGCCCGAGACAATCATAACAGTGGAAAAACAGGGAGGAAACGGGAAACAAGGCTAAAAATACACGATTAATAAAACCCTATATAGACGTTTAGACTCAAAACTGAGTCATTTTCAGTCTGAAAAAAAAAAAAAAAAAAAAAAAAACGATGAAAAACCTGAGCCACACATGGTGGTGGCCAAGATCTGAGAAAAACAGAAACGTCTCGGGTTTTGTTAATTGTGTATTTTTAGCCTTGTTTCCCGTTTTCCTTCTTGTCTTTTCCACTGTTATGATATTAAGCAATCTATGATAGATTTTTGTGGCAATATTTAAAGTAAAAAATCGTCGTTTCAGATGAACCTGGTGGATAAATCTGAATTTATATTTTCAATCGAGGTAGAGAGAAAAAGAGGGAATTCCATATGATGATATGGTAGCAGCTGGTGCATAAGGTCGGATGTTACCACCGCTGTCGACTGTGAAAAAGGCTCTCCCCCATGCAGAATGCAGATGACAAATATAGGGATCGACGACCCCTTGCCTTATATTGCAACAATTCAATACTTGCATTCACGCTGCGTCGCGGAAAGTTCGCTGATTCGTTGAATAACACAACATTTTAAAAAATAATAACCGCCACGTAAATTTTCTATTAAAAAAAAATCGCGAGGAAAAAAGGAATCATACATTCATTTTTGTTCTCTTCTTTTATCCATTCAGATGGATATTTCGTTTTCGCAGGTTCAACCATCTGTTATCTGTTTGCTCCCGAGGAAAATAAGGATGCAGATTAAAGGAGCTGAAAATGACAATTTTCAGTTGCATCTAGTATGTCTGTGCCGAAACAATGCATAATATTATGTCTAATGTGGAAATAAACATTGAAACTAAAGAATCACCCCTCTCTATCTACGACGTCGTTAATGTCTTGGTATACCTTTTACATATACTTATTTAAGGCATTACTGATTAACATTATCGCATCAAATCTTTGTGACACCCCCCCCCCCCCCCCCCCCCGCTGGATCTACGTATGTTACGATGCGACGTTAAAAGCTTCGTTAAAAGCTATTAATTTTTCTCTGTTGCCGTTCTTTCGTTGTATGCCTTTAAAAAGCTTTATTATTCTGTCCTCGCACCAAGAGGCTATCTGAAAGCTGATTTGCGAAATAAGAATTTCCAGACCCTGGATTGACTTACAATCCGCCAAAATGAATTCAAAACGAGGGATACAGACCACAGAGTAATTATCTCATCAAACCGTCGCAGCCCCAGCGTTGGGGTCTGCTAGCTCCCTGACTGCCGGATCATGGGTTTCTCGAGAGAGTTACGAGAGTCGACGGGACTTGCGGGGCACCAAAGAAAATTAACAATTAATTTTTCTGCAACCGCCAAACTTTGGACTTTAATCACCGGAAAACTTCTTTCATTTATTATTCTTGAATGAAGTTCGCTTCTTTGAGGTTTCCGCTCAAGTCTGACGGAAATAAATTAATGAGTGCTTATAAAGGGCTTTTGCTCAAATACAGGCAGAAGGCCGATAATGAAACATCGCTTAAAGTTCCCTGTACGCCACTGATTCAAGTGCGATAGCAAACTTCTAATTACTGTGAATGGCGTTGAAAGTGCCTTAATGCTCACTAAAGGAGAGGTAGACGGGACATTGGTACCAAAGCGACCATTAAGTGAACCGAGATTATTTGTGGGTGAGTCGGCAATGGGAATCGTTAAACTTTGAGGATCTGTGAATTTGGGCTCAAAGGAAAGACAACAAGGTTTTTTCTGGTACATACAGAAATTTTACGGACGAGCATCTGATTAGTGTCCGTTTAGGTCAAGAGCTGCTTTTGATCGGAAAGCATCCTGAATGGACCGCGTTTAACAGAAAGGAACCAAGCCACATCAGCTATTACCAAATTTAACTAAACAATTTAATTTTTTACGGGAGAACGTTGGTGCAGATTCATTTGACAATTTTAAGGAATTTGCCTCGCACTATAGAGAAAATTCACCGAAATTTGCACGAAAATCCGCACAACCGTTTCCATGTAAAAAGTTTCAAAGTTTTCGCATCATATCCGACCTCTCCGATTGGCTGGCTCCACCGAGCGGCGGTCGTCGGTTGGCGGTTTGCGGGCGCGCGTTGAAACCGGGTTTCATATTTTTTGAAGGAGTATTAATCGCGGCCGAAGTCAGGAGCTCGAGTATCGGAATCGAGCGGCTGCAACACCCTTTTAATGACCCATATATCGGAGGTATTCAAAACTAACTGTACCTGCGAGGACGAGAATGAAACGGATACAAGTTTGGAGTCTGCTGCGAATAGATAGACGCGGCTCCTCAGCCATCCGCATCCAGGGACCGGTTTCCGCGGGCCCCGGCCCCCGCCCCCCGTCCTCCGCCGTCCGGAGTTGTCGAGCTTTTGGTTTCCAGCCCAGCACCATCGTGTCGTGTCGCGCGCTCCTCATTGTTGCCGCAATGCCATTTGCAGGGTTCCTGCAAGAGGTAAAGCGGTACTCCTGGTATAGCGGTAAAGGTACTCCTGGCGTAGGGTATCTTTATAGACCGAGTCCGGCCAGGGTTGCAGTCGCGAAATGGAAAATACGAAAGATCGGAAATTTCCGTGAAATATTTCATGAACTTTCACGGACTGTGAAAAATGTCATATTTTTCAGGGGTTAGAGTATGCAAGCCGCACTCAAACACACAAAAATAAACGCAATGGTGACAATATCAGGGCCGGATTTACCCACTTGCCGCTCATGGGCCGCCTATATTATGCCGCCTGTATTTTGCCGCCCATGGGCCGCCTGTATTTTGCCGCCCCCTTCTCATTCGTTTTGAAACATCATTAAAAACCATCAAGTGAACGTGCCAGCGGGGGTGGGGTGCATAAGACGCGTTTACTCGTGTTGGAAACATTTTTGGGAAAACCCTGTCAACACTACTAGCAAAAATTCACCGCACTTTGCGCGAACGTTAAGTTTCGTAAACCTATCTCTGCGTGGACAAGGCCTTCCATTCAGAAGAAATGAACGAAAAAATTATGAAAGAGCAAACATAAATGTGGTTTATTGATGTTAACTTCCGCCGCCGCGCCGCGCAGACTGCACTGTGTTTTGCGCAATGCGTGAAGTATTCACGCAGTCTTGTAGGCGATATGCGTTTCACGCTGACCGTACTGTGTTTGGCGCAATGCGTGAAGTATTCATGCATTCTTGTAGGCGCTATCCGTTTCACGCTGAGCGCAGTGACCGCACTGTGTTTGATGCAATGCGTGAAGTGTTCGTGCAGTCTTGTAGGAATGTAGGCGCTAATATGTGTTACATGCCGACCGCCGCGCCGAGGGCTTCTCCTTTTTCATCTCAAGTCCTCAGCATCATTTCTCTCTCAGTCGCACCGTTCCTGCCCAAATTGCGTGTTTGGTCTCTCTCTTAACTCGATTAATTAAAGGTGCTGTCTCTTGTATCACCGAAAGACAAAATTAGAAATTACTATACTCTCAGGAAATGAGAGATTTTGTTTGTAATTTTTTTTCTAAATCCGATTTTTTTGATACCTACATTTAAAAAAATTGCAAAATTTGCCGCCTCCTCGATTTGCCGCCATGGGCCGCGGCCCATGTGGCCACCCCCTTAATCCGGCCCTGGACAATATCCTTGCGACTACCCACAGTTCATGTAACAGTAACCTTGGAAATGGTAACGGTGCGCAGCTTTTATGGTGACAATCAGTATCACTATTCTAAGCAAATCCCATGATATATCCACCAAAACCGGCAACCTTTTTTTATGACTCCAGCATGCGGCAATCGATGCAGCTCGTTATTGGGCCGGATGGATCCAAAACACTCAAACATTTAAGCCAACGGAGCAGCGCCCTACTATACTATCATTCTAAGGATAAACGTCACATGAGCTTTCAGATTTAGTCAAACCTCCTTTAAAATGCGACTTTCCCTAAAAATATGAGAGCTGTTTTCGTAAACACTCAACAACTTTACAAACTTTAAACTTTGCTTTGCAGCTCCAAAGTCTGATTGATACGCGGGAGAAGAAAACTTCGTGCATGGGACCCAAAGTTGAGGTCATATGGATCCCTGAAGTTTTTGGGTAGCACATCCGAAATTCGAGGCCCGCCTGCCGAAGTTCGGGTCACATATCTGAGGTGCTTTGGTACCGAAGGACTTCAGATGTGAGACTTCGGTATATACCGAAGTACTTCAGATGTTCGATTCGAACATCGGCAGCTTAACTTCAAGTTTTCTGACGCACGTTCCGAAAACTTCAGAGACCCAAACAACCTCAACTTTGAGTCCCACGCACAAAGCACTTTTACTCGTGTATAAATTACCATTTCTTGAGATGTTTCTGTAATATTTTGTTGAACGATCCGATTGCCGATCGATCAACCGATATTTTCTGTAATAATTCTGCTTTCAAATTGCTTTCTTTCAATTTATTCTAAAATGTGACTTGGTTTTTTTCTGTTTAATGCAGTCCTGATGGACTGCGGTTAAAATGAATGTATGCCTACTGATATATTCAACTTTCTTCGTCGTTCTAAAATTTTTCGGTTGGTTTTTTGTTTCAGCTTTGGATTTAGCGGCGAACAGCAACGTTCAAGATGCGTTCGTTATCGCCGTCGAGCAAAAGGCCAGGGAGCGACTCGAGAGGCTCGCTTTCCTCAATCGCATCAAACCGGTTGATATGACAAAACTCTCCCTCCAGGTGAGTCACCACCTCTTAATTAGATGACCCACCTTCCACAATATCTAGCCTAGTCTCTTCGATACATTTCGTTTGAACATTGGAATTTCACGCTTTGAAGCTTTGAAACAGAGCCGGATTTTTAGGGAGGGGGGGGGGACTAAACTTTCATCTCCCAACTCCAAGGGGCCTGACGTAAGATATTCTATGCATGTCTATTTCGATGGCTAAAGTGCAAAACAGCGTATCTCACTTTGCGGCGTAGCAGACTTCCCGTCGTATTTTAGACAAGATACGTGGTTTGGCACTTTGGCCATCGATTTGATGTCTCTGTAATTTGACGGGTTTAACCAAGATCAACCTTATAAGTTCCTCCCATGATTTATTTTCTCAACAAAAATCGAAAAGGAAAGTTGCCTTGAAATTTTTCTTTTCGGTAAAAAATCGAAAAGAAAAGTCGCCTTGAAATTTTTCTTTTCGTTTTTTATATAAAATTATTAAAAAAAAAAAACAATTGCACCTTCTAATTTCCTCCCATGATTTATTTTCTCAAAAAAAAAACGAAAAGGAAAGTTCCCTCGAAACTTTGTGTACATTCCCGATAGACTGAGAAGAAAACTCTCACAACATTTCTACAAACATAACGTCGTATAGTTTTCTGTCAAGTTAATAAAATATTAGAGTAAGTCACGCAACGTCGGGCGTGGTTATGCTGACTCTGGTAAATATACCGTGCTAAGGAAAAACGCCGTTTGAAAATTAGACGTTGTCAAATTTCTCCAGATAAAATACGTATATTTGGAAAGAGTTTTGCATATTTATTCTTGAAATTTCTTGATACTTAAGATCGGATCGCTGATAAAATTCGCTGAGAAACTCGAAGAAAGTTACAAGTTTTGATTAAAATTCTCATTATATAAAAATAATTTTGACAAGATCCAAATATTCATACGGCGTATTACTTTGATATGGCAGAAATCCATCCAACTGAGTCCTTGCACACGCGTACTTTCACAGTGCAACTTGCGCTCACGTAGTGAGACTGCGTCCACTTGATACTACATTTATTAAAGCAGAGTAGAGAGAGATCTGCGAAGGTATGGAAACTCCTTCATTTCGGGAGAATACCACTTCTTTCACTTATCTATGATTACTCGTTCCAGGCTCTCCTATGAGACGCTCGGCATTGATAGTGACCCTGTAGAGTCATTTTATATCTTTTGACCGAGTCTTAAGGATCTTAAATCAATTGTTCCTTATTATCATGTGAATGTAAAATAAAAATTTGAAAACATAAAAGCAAAGGCAAAAGACGAATTTGCCTCCACATATTAAATTAAGAGGACTTTTCGAAGTAAATATGTAACCCCAAAAATTCGTGAATGATATGGGTATCGTAAAATTTCCTGCTACAACTTTGGCTCGGAATGAGTCATGTTTGAGTATTGTGGGAGGTACATATTGGATGCTCTATCCACCTGAGGTTTTTCGATAAGTTTATCATTTTTTCCTTTTTATATACTATTCGATGGGGCGCCATTCCAGCTAAAGCTCAGAAGGGCAGTCATCATTTTCCAAGGTATATTTCCCAAATGCACCAAAATTGAAGATAATGGGCCACCTAGACAAGGTCTGAAGTAGAAGAAAACGTCACATGTTTTCTCTTCAAAATTTTACGTAGGAAAAAATTCACACAACAAGAAGCTTCGAACTCAACTTCTGAACGATATATTAACAAGTCTTTTAAACACAGACCAAACGGAGGTTTGATTATACAAATGACGTCATTTGTGCTTTGGTCGTTTAACCGATGTCAGTAGAAAACACTTATATCATGTTCAGGAGTTGCTTTTCAGACTTCCCGTTGTGTGATTCGTTTCCTTGTGGAATTTCGAGGAGAAAACACGTAGCGTTGTGCTTTTCTTTAAACCTTGTCTAGAGGCCAATTACTTTGAAAAATTTCAATTTCTAGTGCGGAATGGGATAATACCCCTCCCACAAATTACCCCCCTGATAAGGCCAGAAAAATATTTATTTTAAACGTTCGAACCCGTGTTGTCATCGGCGTTGGGCCAGTGGCGTGGCGTGTTTTGCGATATCGATCGTTATGCCATTTAAACCTATGGAAAAGGATCGATAAACAGGATGTTCGCAGCGAACACCTTAAAAATCGATTCTTTACCGTAGATTCAAATGACAGAATAATCGATACATCGCAATCCACTGCGCTAGGCGTTGCCTTAATCACAGATTTCCCTGCGATGGATTGCCAGGAACGAAGTTGCAATGAATCGCGTGAACGAATCGGTAATTAATATCGATCAATCCCCAATTAATTGCCGCAACCACAGGAACTATTCTCAGGAGTCTTGTATCCCGCTTATTCACCGATGTTGCTTCCCAAAAGTTGAACTGAAAGTTCGTCGACGCAATCAATCGCAAGAAAATGCTGATGAAACCAAAGCTTCAGACGCTTTGCTTTCAGTCGAATCGTTCTGAATCAGCCGATTCTCCTAATTTAAGGGTGTTCCACGCAAAAACGTCGTATGAATATTCGGACGTTGCCAATTTTCACGCTATAAAATAGGTATGCATAATGAAAGTTTTGGGGGTTTTTCCGAGCATTTTCAGATACTTTCGAATGAGTTGCGGATGGAGTTGTGTAAAAAAAATTTGACGACAAATTTTGAAAAGTCTCCCCGAAAATTCAGGTTTCCCCCAAGGACATTTGGTAATGTCTGAAGGCACCTACGGTGCTCTTCTATAATGCCGTGCTAAGGAAAAACGCCGTATGAGCCCTCATGCAGATGTCGCTATACTTCCTTTAATAAAGTCAAATTTACCGGGAAAATTGTGAATATATTTTTTTGTTTTAAAAAAATTTTCAGACAATTTTGTTTAGGTTTTCAACTAAAATATCTGAAAATTTCTAGTAAAACTATGCAAAACTCTCTTCTCAAATATATGTTTAATGCGAGTAGATTTGGCAACTCCCGAATGTTCATGTCGCAGGCAAATAGTGAAATCAGGCATTTTGTCAAATGCCGAGGCAGATAGTCAAATTTTAACAGGCTACAAAATTTTGTTACTTTATGGCGAAGAGCTCACGATTTTTCACTATTTTTGGAAAAATAACTCATCAAACCTACAAACTCTTTTTGTCTCTTCCTCTTCAATTGCTTCTCTTATTTTTAAATGTTGAAATTCCGAAAATTCTGTATTTTATGATATGCTGAAAATTTCAAGACCAGTGTCTGTTCAGGAGCTAAAAATCGTTTAAAATACTACTGTGCGGTGCAAATTTTTACTGATGCCGCAATCACACGCTGAATTTAGCAGCTGCGAATGTGGAAGTCAACAGTCATCGCCCAACGGCTGAACTTTAGCAAATTCGAGTTATTTTCATCCAGATGTGTATCAAATCTACTCGAATAGTTCAGACAAATTCAACATTAGTCTGATTGTTACTGAGAATCGTTGCTGAATTCTGCGCGTCACGCGCAAAATTCAGGCATCGGGCTGATGACTTCCACATTCAAGCCACATTCAGCTCCCACTTTTAGCGTGTGATTGCGGCAAGAGAATTTTTTCTTGCTGGGGCAATCAATTGTTTTGTCTGAAATTAGGAAATGAATCAGAATTTCAATCTACGTTTGCATGTTTGACTATTAGCCTAGGCATTTGATAAAATGCCTGATTTGACTATTTGCCTGCGACATTCATACGACGTTGATCCTTAGCCCGGCAGTTCAGTGCGGAGGTTTACGTGCGCGAGTTAAGCGCCTTAACAGACTGGTCAGCGGCTGAAACCTCAGGGACCGCATTTGGGAAGTGGCGAAATTGGGAATAAGTGGTCGTAAGCTTTTTGCGAGTCGCAGGATTTGGAAGTTACCTGCGGTCAGGACGCGGGAGTAACTTTCCGTCTGAATTTCGAGCCGGAAACTTTTGAATGGGAATAGTTTTCGTTTGCCCGGGAACTCGGTTGATTCCGTGCTTTCATTCCGCTCAGCGCCCGCCAGCCGCGACTCACAACTTTGACCCAATTGCCATCCCGATAACTAATTTTTAATACACGTGCCCCCCTCCCCCTCCCCCTCGATCCCTCCCGCCTCCCGGCCAGGCTTCAACTTTGGCAACCCGGCTTTACGATTTGCCTTTAATGAACTTAGCTCTATCGGTTTTCCCGTTCATTCGGGTGAATTTACGATAAGGAGGAATTTCACCGCCCGACAACTTTGCCGAATGAGGTTTTGAAAGCATTTTTTTCCCCCAATTTATTTGGCTTCTATTCCTTCATTTTCAGGTTAGGAATCTACAGCCATCTATACTGCCGTGCTAAGGAAGAACGCCGTATAAACATTCGAGAGCTGCCAAATTGCCCCGAATAAAACATGTCTTTTTGACAACATTCGTGCATATTTTTCCTTGAAATCTTCAAATATTTTAGATTAAATTGCGTACAAAATAATTGCCTGAAAATTTTGGAAAATAATATTCACAATTCTCCGAGTAAATTCGGTTTTTATCGGAGGAAACTTGGCAACGTCTGAAGGCTCATACGGCTTTCTTCTTTAACACGGCAGTATAGGTACGTGAGAATGGTATTTGGGAGTTGGCACATCCATGCTTCAGGCTTTTCAAATTTTCAGGGGTTAAGGCCGAGTGGAATCGGTCTCTGCAGATCCACTCGTCAGTTCCGTGAAAATTAGACGCCATATGAAAGGACTCGTCGTTTCCTTGACCAAGAAATCTGAGAATTTCCGATAGTGTCCTGGAAAAAAAATGAAGATAGCAAAAAGAAATGTACCAATGTTGAAATGGAGCTACGTTATTTTTCGTCTTGAGAACGATATAGATGCAGAGGCGATAAGTGTATGATTTTAATAATTGATAAACGTTAGTTAATGATTAATAAACAAACATTTTTTAAAAAAATACAGTAATGGATGCAGTTACACACTTCCACGAGGCTGTACGTGGTTCAGGTCGCGACGCAAGGAGGTGCAAACTTGCTGGTGTCG